GTATATATATATAAAATCGTTGCACGGTTTACGAAAGAAGAATATTGATTGCACACGTGTATACATACATATGTATATACAAAATAAATACTTCAGTAAGCTTATTGAAGGTTTGCAATTTGAATAAAAATAGCAAATCGTGGCAGTATCGCACACTTGTGAAAAAAACATAAAAATATCGGTAGATATACAATTATTCTCTCAACCATCGAATAATTAGCATAATTCTGTAACGCTCATTCACACACACACACACACACACACACACACACACACATACATAGTTTTTCGTATGAATTGCATGACAACGATAACAATGAGTTTTTTAATTAATTCGATATACGCATGAATAAGCAAACAAAAATATTCGCGTAGTTTTTGAATTTTACATACAGGGTGAGTCAAAAGTTTCTTCCCGCCTATGTTTTTCTTTCTTTTTTTTAATAAAAAAAGTGTAAGCTAATTTCATTAGTTTCAAATTAAGTTCAAGCTCAACGATGATTTTTTCATTGTTTTTTCTTTTTTTTTTTTTTTTAAATTATTTCGTTCGCGGAAATTTGCGGATTCATTTCGCAAGTACAAAGTGATTTTTGGCCCATCCTATATGAAACCATCAACTTTCGTATCAAGGAATTTTCTATTGGACGCACAACGTAAAAGTTGTATTCAAGACGCACGAGTCACCCTGTATATGTATAAGTTTCGAGATCATCGTTGCACGTTGAAAGAACACGGCAGGATAATTTTGCAGGAAATACTCTTTCGAACGATGATTTCAAACACTATGAATTCGCAATATGTATAATTAGGAACTGAGAAAGTCAAAACGTTGAAACAATTTCTCTCTGTTTCCATCTGTCTCGCGAAAATCTTCGTTCCGATTCGATGGGAGGGGGGAAAAATCGTGCCCGATTTCATCGAGAAATCATCTCGTAACTACGTAGGAACTTCTACCACTTTTCTCGTTCGCTTTTGCAATTATTTCGTGAATTCGTTTTTCTCCTTTTCGACATTGGTTCTCGCCTGCTTGGGCACGATCTTCACGAAGGAAGCGCCGTCGACGTTTTTGAAGCCGGTGGCGGGTGAACGCTGACTGTTGAACCACTTCTTCACGATTTTCTCGTCGTACGTGAGAGTCGTGACGATCTTTGTCTTTCTCTTCTCATCGTTTTTCGTTTCACTCTGCTTGCCTGCAGCGTCCTTCCTCTTCTCTTCCTGTTGCTTCGAGCAGGCTGCTGCTCCCGACTTCCGGCTGCTCATCCTCAGCTGAACGTCGAACCTGATTCTACCGCCGTCGCCGTGGTACTTCACCTTGTCCTTGACTGATTTCGGGCCAAGCAACACCTGGCCACCGTCGCCCGTGTACTCCACGTCACCCATGTTCTGATCGATCCTCAAACGACAACCGTCGCCCACCACCTTCACGCTGCCCCGGTTCCTCGACACGGAGATGTCGCATCCGTCGCCGGTGATCTCGAGCACCTGCTCGTTCGAGCGTAGATTCACCGAAAGACCGTCGCCGATCATCTTCCGCACTGTCCCTTCCTTCACACCCATCTCTTCTTCTTTCCTTTTATTCGAATTCTCGACTATCGGGAGAATTACTTTTACTTTTCTAGGTATTTTATTTTCGAAAAATATATCGACGACTTGCTTCGTACTAGAAGATATTTGACATTTGAACGAAAGTACTACGCATGTTCTTTGAACTCACGCGTTATGCCACTAGAAGGGGAAACCAAATGGAAGATTACAGAATCTGTCGTCGTGGTGATAATTTCAAGATTAGATCGACGACTGGAGTGTCTCTCTTCAGCGATTAACCATTCAGGGGAAGCAAGTCGCAGTCGGTAACTAAGTCGAGGCTTGTTAAATCGATAGCCACCTCGATTCTTCTTCTTCGCTTTGTTTTCGTCGCGCGTTTTTTTTTTTTTTTTTATCGTTTCACTTATCGTTGTTTGTTGTCCATTTTCGTACAGCACTTAACTGATATTTTTCACCGCGTGCTCAAAAATCAACTGTAAACTGCTCTTCGTTCACTCGACGAATGAATCAGTCCTTCTTCTTCTCTGTCATCACGTAAATTTGTCAATTAACCAGCCGACTCGAAGGGGCAATGCCAATCACACGTCACTGTACGTTCATAAACTTGGGAAATTCGCTGGAAGCAACGAGAGAGATCGATTATAGAATTAGTAAGGATTGATGACGAGTCAAGGATGGACACAATTGATCGATAATGGGAGAGTTAGCGTGGTGTGTGTGGTGCCGAGTGAGAGAGCCACAGCAATAGTAGCACAGCAGTGGCGGCTGCGCTGGTAATTATGGTTGGCGCGGCACGAGTCCAGGGTTCCTCGCCGACCAATCCGCCTCGTCGCTTTCGGGACTTCACCGAGGCCTTCTGAAACCATCACACGTTTCCCTCGGTTATCACGACACACGTGTCAAGTGTGCGTGGGCTCTTTATCTATCGACGCTTCGAAAAGATCGATATCAAACGAAAATAATAACTTTCATACATTTTCTTTTCTTTTTTTGATTTCTATTATTTTGTCTGGCAAGTATATTTCGAAAAATTTGTATATACATTGTATATATTTAGAATAAAAAATTGTAT